GGGGGAGGGATGGGGATGGAAGAGTTCATATTCAAAGAAAAGATTTAGGATAGCTGTCACAAGCAAGACAAGCTGTCCTATACATACAGGGTCAGAGAAATCATACAACAACTACTACTATGCCTCAATCCTAAATTAGCTGAAATCTGCTATATGAGTCCTCATCATCCATTTTGCTCCATTTAAACACGTCTCAATTCAATATTCAAAATTTAGATTCTCTAAATTAGAAGTTCTCTATATTTGCTACTGGCAAGTAAATCTCTGACAAAATTGAAAGACTCCAAGCCCATATTGGACCTAGTAAGCATTCCAACATGACTAAACCTTAAATCCAAACTAGTTATTATCGTCCATATGGATCTATTGTGCTATTCTTCGCTAAGTCTTGCATGAATTCCAGGAAAAAATAATTTTTTTCTTTGCAATATTGTATATGATTACTTACTTCTTATGCATTGAAGCGACGAGGACCTGAATTTCAATGGAACATAGTCGCAACACCACTATGTCACTTACAAACTATCTTGCTCGGACTCTCCAAAAGTGTTGCCGCACCCGTGTCGGATCCTCCAAAAATGTACTAAATTTGGAGGATCCGACACGCTCCGAGTAACATAGCTTACAAATGCCTTGTCGTGTATTTAAGTTGTCTCCAAATAAAATTTCACCTGCAGCTCAACGAAAATTGTATTTCAAGGCGGCCAACGCGACACTTCCGCTTCAATGACTTGGACAATAACATGTACTCTTGAGGCCAGAGGTCCATACTATGGGTAAGCAAGTGGACGGCAAGCGCATACATCGCACCTGAACTCTGACTTAGAGGAATTCAGTCATAATCCAACATGCGGTAGCTTTGCAGCAGTAGCTTGTCAACCAAGCGCGATGACCAATTTGTGTGAATCAATGGTGCCTCTCGTACTAGCTTAAATTACTATAGAGAGACAGTCATTGGTAGGTAAGACTAACATGTCTCACCAAAAAGTATTTTTGTTATAACGCGGATATTTTCTCCAAGCCCACAAAGAAGAAAAGGATACATACTATAACTCTTGCCTTTCTACCAATCCACCACGCCAACTTCTCTACCCCCAACCCCACCTCTGTCCTGATCCAGTTATTGCAACAAGAT